TCTCTCTTTTTTCCACACTGTTGCTGTTTTGTTGGCAAAACCATCTGATTTGTATACTGGTTCAGTTTGGATTTCGTAGTACGTGTGAAAAGATGCCTGGGCTGTCTGCCGAAGTGGAGGGGACTCAAATGAGTGGGCTTCGAGGCTGCCATTCTTGGCAGCCCCCGCAGTCTGAGGAGCCTGGCACACGCGCGCCTTTGTCGGGAAGGTGGAGCTTGGCCAGGCCTTTTCGTTGGCTTTGCTGGAAGCAGCCCCGCTGGTGACAGCAGGTGGCTTTCCCTCTGCTGTGGGAAAGGAAATTCTCTTAATCCTGGTTATTGCTTTTCCCCCCCTCATTCTATGATAGAGGGTGAGAGGTAGAAAGTCCCAGAGTAGTGAGTGTGGGGGCTGTGCAGGTTCAGGGTAGGGCCGGTATGCAGTTTCCACAGAGCTTTTCCAAAAGTTTTCCTTGCCTCCTACATTGTCCTTCTTGCTTGTTGAGTCCAATCCTGTTTCTCATCAGTGGCTTAGAAAGTGGACTTGAACTTGATCTGTCACTCTTGGGAAGACCTGGGAGTGTGGCACCAAACTTGTTCAGATTGGTGTGGTAATTTTCACACCAGAACAAGAACCCTGTTTTAGTGGTGGTAGTGGTGTTTTTGTTACCAGTTCAAAAAAATTTTTTTAATGATTTAGACAATACATGAATCTATTATGCTCTTAAGCCTTACCCTCCCGTTCAAAGAGTACACAGTAGTACAAACAAGAAAATGCAACGTCCTCCTTCATTCAGCACCCCTCTTGCATGCACTGCCCCCCTGCTGGGTTCTCCCTACAACCAGTTTTAGCAGTTTGATGCTTGTGATATTGTTCATCAACCTGTAGAGAGACAAATACATATAGTGTTGTTTTGTAAGCATCAATCTGGTTGCGTCATATCATTTTGCTCTTTTCCCATGATATGTCTTAATAGATCTTTTCATGCATGTAGCTCTTCTTTCTTTTAATTTGTCTTTTGTCTACAAAATATTTTATAGTATAGATAGATCATAATTTATGAGGCAGCCCCCATTGATAGACATCTGAACTAACTCATTGGCTTAGCTGTTATATCTTCATTCATACATACATATTGTTATACACATACACACGTTTCTCAGGGCAGAACTGGTGTGTCAAAGGTTTACACCTTTAAGCTGTTATGGCGGTATGCATGCTGTGCTTTCCAGGGCTGTACTGGTTTAAGCTTCAAGGACTGGAGGAGGCTGCCCATTTCCCTGTGGGCTGCCATTCTTCTAGGTGAAAGACGTGGATTGTGTTGAGTGGGCATTTCATTGATTACTGATAAGGCTGTGAGACTCCTCATTTGGCCTCTGGAGCATAATTGGCGTGTCCTAGTAACGGTGGAAAATGAGGGAGCTGAGCCCTCAGGAACCAAGGTGTGAGCGGCCTGTCGCCAGGGGTGGCCATGTGGCCCTGGTAGCAAATGCTTCTGCTTTTGCTTTCTCTTCACTTCTCCGAGAGGCTAGGTATTATAATAGAGCACTTTAATTTTGGTGTAACCTGCAGAAGTACTTCTGCCAACCTCTCCCTGGAGGAAGCAAGCATGTATAACAACAGCACATGCAGGCCAGTCCGCTCTGCATGGCTGAGGCAGGGATTCCAGACCGGGGAGCTGACCTGGGAGGACATTTAAAGATTGCCTGCCAGAAAATTAGACACTCTTGCTTCTGAAGTAGCCTCCATAAATGGGGTGAAGCAAGATTCTGTGTGCGGTGGGCCTTTTATTCCAATGGTGCGGTGATCAGTTCCCCTCTCTTCTGGCTCCTTGGAATATTGTGACAGTTTGCCCTTTAGCCAGGGTGCTTTCGGGAGAAGCCATGGTTTCTTAGGTGTTCCAAGGCCTGACCTGGCAGAGGAGGTGTCTGGAGGCCCTCATGAATAGGTGTCCCCCAGCCGTCACTGCAGTCTCAGCTGCACAGGGGGTTTTGGGAAGCTCTGGTCGACTGACAACAGTGTCCTTTACCTGCCATTCAAAGGGGACAGAGAGAAGAGTGACGGAGGCAGCAGCCTTGGGTGGTGAAGACTCCAGGGTCACTCACGGGGATTCTAGCTCCTACTGAGCCCCGTATGGGAGCAAAGTTAGTTTATCTCCCTCTACCTCAGCTTCCTTATCTGTAAGCCAGGAATAATAGTAGTACTTACCTCACAGGGCTGTTGTGAGGATTCAGAGAGTAATGTTTGTAAAGCTCTCAGCATATTACCTGGTAAGGACTAAGTAATTATATGGGCCGACTACTCATATCTGTGTTCCTTTTTCCTTAATAAATGTCATCAGATGCACGAATGCGCATTACATTTGCTAAATATAAAACTGCCTCTAATCTAACAATGTTACGGAGAGGAGGTCCGGAGGTGAAGAGCTGACTGGAGGCGGGAGGCTGGGCAGCGAGCCTTCGGAGAAGAGGAGGGCAGGCCTGGTGTTCTCCGCTCACACCAGCCCGCCTGCTGTGAGACACCGAGGTCCCAAGTGCAGAGGCCTTTTTCTTCTTTTTAGGTATCCTGAGAGCCAGGAGTCCGTAGAATAACTGCTCCCTTTTGTTTTGGGGGAGGCTGAGCCAGGCCCTGCAAGGGGAAGTGCCGCCCCTGCCCGTGGCTGGCTATTCACAGAGAAAGATGGGGTCCAGGTGTCCTCACTCTGGGGGTTGGGATTCTTTCTCTCTTTTCCACCTTGCCACGTGCTGCCCACTTCCAGATGTGGGGAAAAATACTGCACAGTGTCAGGCACTTTGCAAAGGTCTGCCTCCTGAGGCCCTTGTGAGATGAGGTCACAGAAGTGCAGAACGTACAATCAAGTACAGCCCAGGGCGAGGCAGGGCCAGCATTCAGACACAGGCCTGTCCTGTTCCCGAGCTCACAATTGTGCCTTCTAACTCTGTTCCTTACAGTGCTGGCCGTCGGTTGATGTCTGTGCTGGCTTCATATGCCTGACCACCTGCAGTTATACCACTCAATGAGCGAAGTCCATGCATGTGTGTGTGTGCATGTATGTTCATGTGTGACAGCAAATTCATTTGAAGCCCCTAACTTGTTTGCTGATGGTTTACCCAAACCGGAGGTCTGAGAACTGCAGGTTGAAAGTGGGCAAGGCTGTACGCAGGACTTCTAAAGGACCTCAGCCTGCGGGGGTTCAGATGGGGACAAGGCAGCCTGCTCTCACAAGCAGGGCTGGGTGTGTGAGCTCTTTGTCTGTGCGTCTGGGAGGAGCAGGGCCACTCAGCAAGGATGCAGGTGGGACCTGGGCAGACTGCATGGCTTGCCGAGGACTGTGACATGAGTCCAGGTAATGGATGTGAAAATTAACTCTGCAAACAAGGTGACAGTGGCCTCTGGTATGAGGAGGTTGTCCAAGTACTGTGTGGTAAGTGCTGATGCACTGCCCTCAACGCTAGTCCGCGGAACGGAGACTTCACCTTGGCTCCCCTGGTCTGAGAAGGCTCCTCAGAAGCAGCACACATCAAAGCCAGCTTTGCCTGCGCCTTAGAGAGCAGGCAGACTTCACTTTGCAAATGAGGACCCTGAGACCCGGGGTGGGCCACCCGGTTCAGGGCTGCAGCCCTCCACGGGGGAGGGCGGGGCCGGGGACCTGTCCTTTCTGTCCTCTGCCCCACGTGCTTTAGTGATCACGGCGAGTGGCAGCTGTCCTGAGGAGTACTTGGTACCTGGAGGAGCTCAATATTATTTATGAAATAAAGTCCCAGCTCAGTTTCTGGTTCTGGCTCTTCTGTTGCTGAGCAAAGCTAGCACATCAGCCTCTCAGTTTTGCCCTCTGTAGGCTGAGTATAGCACCCCTGCCTCCCTCCTCAGCTTATCTTCATTCACTCAGAATTCATTCAGCATATATTTATTAAGTGCCGTCTTGGTGCCAGACGCTGTTCTATGTGTTGGGCATCTTGTACTGAACAAAAGAAGCTTAAATCCTGTTTCTTCTGGGGTTTATTTTCTAGTGAGGGGTGGCAGATAGTAAATGAAAGTCATGATGTGGTTATTTGTTTCCCAGGGCTCCTGTAACAAAAGGACCACACACAGAATGGCCTAAACAACAGAAATTCATTCTCTCGCAGCTCTGGGGCCTCTGAGGGATCATCTGTGCCATCCTCCTTCCTAGCTCCTGCTGGCTGCAGGCAGTCCTTGCTGTTCTTAGCTCCCGGCAGGCCAGCTCTGCTCTCTGCCTCTGCCGTCGCATGGCCTTCTCCCTGTGTCTGTCTCTCTCCCGTTTTCTTATAAGGACCCTAGTTCTTGGATCCGGGCTTATTCTACTCCACTGTGTCCTCATATAAACTGGTTGTACCGGCAAAGACCCTATTTTCAAATGAGGACACGTTCTGAGGTGGCAGGTGCACATGGCTTTTGGGGGAACCTTTTCAACGCAGCGCAGTGTGGGAGGCGGCGAGATGACTGTTGAAGAGCAGGAGGAGGGCCCGGGCAGAGGCCAGGAGGGAGGCGCGGGAAGGTGGTCAGAGCAGGCTGGCCGAGCAGTGTCTGGGCTTCCCCGAGGAGGAGGGGAGCAGGGGCAGGCCAGTGTGGAGGGAGCGCAGGGCAGGCCGAGGGGGCAGCCAGTGCAGAGGCCTTGAGGTGGGCGCGTGCATCTGCTGGGATGCTGTAGGGACAGCATGGCTGAAGTCCTGTGCGCGTGAGAGAGGGAGAGAGAGGCCCTGAGGTCGCTGAAGTGTGTGAGGGGACGGGGGATCCCGTAGGTTCTTGTCAGTCTTCGAGGGGCCTGGGGCCTTCGGCTCTGGTGAGACGGGAGCTGCTTCTGTGGCTGTGAGCATGACGGAAAGCAGGACTGGCGTGGACCAGCTCATTTAGGACTTTTTTCCATTCACATAGTTGGCCATTGTGGGGGTGTGCGTGTCCTCCGATATTTTCCAGCAGCTGTTGCTCTGCAGTTTCTTTTTCGAATGTTAGTGCTCAGTTGACCCTTGATCCCCTGCCCTTTCCTGTCTGTTCTCTCCTTCTAGATGCCTTGTCACCAGCCAGCCTCCCCACACTTAAATCGCAGTGGTGAAGAAGAGAAAGTAGACAGGTGAGTTTGGGGAGCGGGGACTGCCAGGACACTCGGCCCTGCAGCAGCCCTGCCAGGAGCTGTGTCTCCCCCTCGGGCCCTGGCAGAGGCCTTTTCTTTTTAGGTATCCTGAGAGCCAGGGGTCCATAGAATAACTGTTCCCTTTTGTTTTGGGGGAGGCTGAGCCAGGCCCTGCTCTGGCCTCCTGTGGTTAACAAGCGCATCACCCCGCCAGGTTTAGAAAATCTGGTCAGTGTGCGAGCTCATTGTCTGCAGCTCTCCAGGTCCTTCTGTGGATAAAGTCACTATGCTGTGAAAAGACTTGAGTCAGCTCCCTTGGGCAGCAGGCCACACATACTTGGCCTTGAAAATACAGGGCAGGGAGGCCCGTCCAGAAGTACCTGTGCAGAGACCGAGTGAGTGGTGGTGTGGTCACCGTGTACAGGCCCGGGGCCCTGTCCTCCCCACCCCGCCCGCTCCCCACTTTGTAACTGACCTGCAGGGTTTTAGGCAGTGGTGTTCTCTTTTGCCATAGAAACAATTAGACCTGTGATCTGAGTATGTTACTCAAAAGAAGAAGGAGGTCCAGGCGGTGCTTGCCCTTCGTACACGTGGCCTGATGGTCTGAAGCCTGAGTCGGTTTGGTTTGCACGGTTGCTGTGGGACTCGTAATTTCAGATTCCTGGGCATCAGAGCTGAAGGGAAATCTCCTTATCCGGCTGACATTTAATTTCCTCTTTGGGCCTCCAAGGGAAAGGGCCTGACATGGCTACTATTAGAGCTCCAGAGAAGTGGGCCGTGGGTGGGCCTGCCTGAGACCTGGCCCCTCTTCCCAGCCTCCACCTGCTAGTGCAGTGCCAAGAGTGGCCTGCCGAGGGAGGTTCTCTGGGGGGGCCACTGGCACTGTCCCCCTCTGCCGTAAGCGGAGCTGGAAATAGAATTCCCCGGCACTGGAAGCCAGGAGCAGCTGCTCTTCTGAAGGATTTCAGGAACTGCCTTTAGGAGCCACTTGCTTATTCCCTCACCCTCCTCAAACAAAACACACATCCACGCAAAATGAAAGTTGCGAAGACTATTCCGAGCTAGAAAATGAGCATGAAAAATGTGTTGTGAGATTGTAATTCCTCTGCCAGAGTTATTTCTGGGTGTGCTTCCCCCCAGCACTTCAGAAGTGCTTCCTGAGAGGAGCTGCCTTTGAAACCTTGTAGCCTTCTTCGCCAGATGATAGAGGAAGTTTTGACTCAGGGAGCATCCCCAGGAGTCTATGGAGTCTGGCTGGGTTAGAGGCAGAAAGGCCTCACCCAAGAGTGGGAGCCAGACAGGGTGCCAAGTATTCCCCTAAAACACCTCCATTCCTGTGCCCAGGGTGGCCTTTGTTTCTGTGCTAACACACCCCAAGTGCTTAATAAATAAATACTTGTCGATAGGCAGGATCTACTGGTTGTGGGCCTTGACAGTTTTTTTTCTGGGTTCCCAGCATCTAGCATGCTTGAGCTAGCTTGGAGCTCTGGCCGCATATGGGGACTGGTGACATCCCTGTGGCCTTGGGGAAGTCATTTGCCTCCCTGGGCCTCTGTTGTCATCTCATCTTGAACAACCTGGGGTTGGATGAGATGGTCCCTGTCCTCTCCCACACCCTCTCCTCTGGTCACAGTCGAAGCTCCTTGAGGGCAGTAGGGACATGAGCCCTTTGTCCTGTGGAGACTGACACATGCAGAGCTTCCACAAAGCTCCCCCTGTGGCCTTCGTCCTGCTTGGCCAGACCCCCCCAGAGCGCCTGCTTTCTGGGCGAACTCTGTTGCTGGGGAAAGCAGGGACAGGTGGCAGGGGATTTGGCATAAATCTCCAGCCTGGCCCTGGGGGCAGGTGTCTCCAGTTGTTCAACGTGAGCTCCTTGCTCTTGTCTCAAGTTTCATGCAACTTTTTATTCTTGCCTGGAACAGAGTCCCTTTATTTCTGGATATTGTAAGAATTGTTTTTGCAATTACTGGTAAGGCAGAAAAGAATGGAGCATGACTACGAGATTGTATATACATTACATTCCAAATTTAAGAAATGCCTATGTGTGGGGAAAAACACTATAAAGAATTTAATTTTAGCCCTGGCTGGTGTGACTCATTGGATTGAGTGCTGACCTGTGAACCAAGTGGTTGCCAGTTTGATTCCCAGTCAGGGCACGTGCCTGGGTTGCAGGTCAGGTCCCCAGAAGGGGTTGCACGAGAGGGAACCACACATTGATGTTTCTCTCCCTCTCTTCCTCCTTTCCCTTCTCTCTAAAAATAAATAAATAAAATACTTTTTAAAATTTAATTTCAGTGATGATTTTGGTATCATAGATTTTTAAAAAAGATTTTACTTATTTTTTAGGGCGGGGGAAGGGAGGGAGGAAGAGAAGGAGAGAAACATTGATGTGCAAGAGAAACGGCGATCAGTTGCCTCTCGCACACCCCCATCCGGGGACCCGGCCCACAACCCAGGCATGTGCCCTGACTGGGAATCAAACTGGCGACCTTTCAGTTTGTGGGATGATGCCCAACCCACTGAACTACACCAGTCAGGGCTCATAGGAGATTTTTTTATCTCTATATTTTTCAGCATTTTCTACAATGATCATGTATTGTCTTTATATTAAAAATAACTAAAATTGTTTTAAATTATACCTACTTCTTAGCATTTAATGTGTGCTAGATGATGTTAAGCGCTTGCCATTACAAGGTTCTTATTTAATCCTCACTGTGAACCTGTGGGGTATTTTTTTTTTTTAAAAGTTTGAATGTTAAGCCTTGGCTGGTGTGGCTCATCAGTTGACTGGAGTATTATCTGGTAAACCAAAAGGTTGCCTCTTCAATTTCTGGTCAGGACATATGCCCAGGTGGCGTTTTCAGTCCCCAGTCAGGGCATGCTTGAGAGGCAACTGATTCTCTGGTTTGTGAGGGTTGGAGTCTATGATTACTTACCCTCTCCCCTGCTCACCACTTGATTGCAGAAAGCCGGTCACTAGTATGTGTCTCTCCTTTGAGAGTTTTAGGGCTGTGCTTTGTGTATTTGTCAGGGGGGTGGGTGATCAACCTGGCTCAGGGTACAAGCAGCTGACGTGGGTGCTGCCTGCTGAGGGACACCAGGGTGGATGATTTGTGTGCTCCTGTTTTTGTTAAGGTTGAAGCTCATGGGCTCCTGTGTTGGGAAGGGCTGTGTGTTAGAGTTCTGCTTCTTGAAGGTGCTCAGCAGTGGGGTGCAGTGGAGAAAGCGGTTGTCTAGAGCTTAGCTACCTGGCTGCCTCAGGTCTGGGTGCGCCATGCTGGGTGGTATTAGAGGAGGGACATGAGTTAGAAGGCCTGTGCTGTAGTCCTGATTTTACCATGTGGTAGACATCCTTTGGCTTAATTTCCTCACTTCTAAGTGAGTGATAAAAATGCTTGTTCTACTTGCCTTTCACAATTGTAGATGATTACACGTCATGATGTGGGAGAAAAGTGCTAAGTACACTAAAGGGCTGTCAAGTAAATTTCTGTGATGGGAATTTGGAGTGTACGGTGGTAGGGGGTGGAGGATCTGGGGGCTGACCTCAGAGACTTGAGGAGGATGGACTTGGATGTAAGGAGTACTGGGTTTGCTTTGTTTTGTTTTTGCCGTCAGCTTGCATCCTTCACCATTGCTTAGCTGGTAGAGTGTAGTGCTCCACTGTCTACCTAGTGGAATGCTCCGGGATTTCCTGGGACGTGTCCCTGCCAAGGTCGTTGGGTTCACCCTCCCTAAGACTCACATCTCCCTGGTGAAATGAACTGTAACGTAGCAGATCATTTTGTAGCCATGGGGTAGTTGAAGGTATGCTGCATTTTCCCCGGGTTTTGCTTCTCTTTTTGTCTTTACAGCAGATATCAGGCTGTCCGTTTCTGTTCTCTAACCTTGAGTAGCCAAGCATCTGAGGGCTGGGATCTGGAGGACTCCCTGGGGAGGGCAGGAGCACACCTTTTCACCATGGACAGAATGTTGGCTTCACGTCGCACCGAGACACTGTGGGCTATCACGATCAAGAAGGCAGGGTCTCAGCTCTCACAGAACCCACTGTGACCTGGGGAAGATACATAGGCTCGGGAAACAGTTATGAGGGCGATGGATACGTAGCCTGAAAAGTGACTGTCGTGAGAGATAGAGCCATCAATCTAAATGAATGAAAAGGTATCATTGGGGCTAATCCGAGATAATGAATTGTTAGCGTGGCTTCTATGACTCTGTGCTTTAAAAAAGCTGTTTGAATCAGCTGTTTTAAAGCTAGGGTTTCTGTCAAGCTACCGCCAAGATAATTTCTGAGTCATCACTGTTTCAGTGCACGTTTCATCTGACGAAGAAGGCCAGGGGTTCTGTCCAGGGCCCTGCTGAAGTCAGTGGCCCTGTCTCACTGGCCACTTGTTTTGGCTTTGAGAGCAGTACTCGAAGGCTAAGTAGGTCATGAATATCTATTTTGAACCAAGTGTGGTGGGGCTGCATGGACATTTAATTTCCGTATCAAATCCTGTCGGACTTGTTTGCCCAGAAGTTTGGCAGCAAGGGCTCCCTGATTGGTCGTGTGGTGTATTTATATAAAGTGTGAAGAGTGTGGAGTAACGGGACACTCCTGCGTCCCTGTAGGCAAGCCGGTGGTGGAGAGCTTTCAGAATCCTTCAGGAAGCCAGCGAGGGGAGCTTTTTCATCCGCTTCTTTGAATTTTCTGAAAATTGTTGATCATCCCTAACTTCATGAAATCTTTTTCTTTTAAGGAATCAAATTTAATTTTTACCCAGTGGCAGTTCGCTTCTTTTTCTGTTAGTAATAGCTGCCAGTTGCTGATGTACTGTGTGTTGGTCCCTTTAAGTCCATTTTCTCATTTAATCCTCACACCCTTGGAGGTGGGGATTATTGTCCGCACTTTGCAGGTGAAGAAACAGTCAGAATGGTGCAGTAATTTGCCCACAGGCAGAGTGTGCAAGTAGCAGGGCCAGAGATTTGAACACAGGTCCTTTGGACCAGACTCTGCCTTTTGC